TCCATAAAAAAGATTAATCTCATGCATGGGGCTTATACAACTCTAAAGATGCAAACTTTATGAATCTTTAACCTCACAAACGCTAAGAGGAGCAACTCAAAGATTTAGGAGTGGTCACAAACTACTAGATCTCAACTATGGGACCAAAGATCGACTAACATCCATAAAAACTAGATCCAAAATGTCCATGAGCAAGATTAGAGCTTTATACCTCAAATGAGTTGGAAATGAAACAGAAAACCAAGATCTATGAGCTTCTTCTTGAACCACCACTTTACACCAAGCTTCTCCACCTTGAATGAGCTTCAAACACACACCAAAACACACACAACGGACTCACAACACTCTTGTAGGCTCTATGATTTCGAGATTAGGGTTTGGGAGCTATGGAGGCAGGAAATGAGGTCAACACTTGAGACTTAAGGTGTTTAAATATGTCTCAAACCCTAAAAATTAGGGATTGATCTCTATGCATGAACGCCCTGCGTTCCCTAAGCCCAAAAGCAATAACTAAATATATAAGGGACCAAAAATGGAAAAAAAAAAATACCTGGATCGGGTGTTGCATCGCTGATGCCAAAGGACAAACCGGAGGTACACAAAATCTTTCAGAGAAGTTGTCATGTTGAAGAAGAATTTGATGTTTCCAATAGTCTTTCATAGAAAAACCAAATTAATCAAAACTTAGTTATATATATATATATATATATATATATATATATATATATATATATATATATATATATATATATATATATATATATATATATATATTAGGAGTATGGTATAGTTTTATGAAATCTTTGAATCATGGTTGTGAAGATCCTGATTTTGATCTTAAGATCCTTTAAGAAAAAAAATTCAGATTGCAATATGATCGATCTCGAAGCAAGAAATCTAAGATCTTAGGATTTCGATTTGGATCATAATATCTTATTCCATTGCGGTCTCTTATCTATAGTAATTATTCTATAGTCAAGTCTTTAGTCTTCCAAACCCTAGGAAATTCGTCCATTTTTATCAAAAATCTTATACAGAGCGTATAAATTGTTAATTAAGGCTTAGAAGTTTGTTAATTCAACTTGAAATTGAGCATTGCAGACTGGAGGAATCCTCATAAACCATCTCATCTTCATTCATTCATCTCGAATTAGCTACATATATATTTAGGCCAAGCAAGATAATCCATTTCCAATGTTGTGCATTTCTCTATACTTGGTTACCATAATTTTTTTTTCCTTTTTGTTTAAGATGTTTTCTTCTTAATTATTGTTTTCATTTATAAGTTATGGTTATTGCTTAAAAAGTTAAAATTAATTATATTGAAAATAATATGCAAGAAATAAACAACTTAAAGTACTATTGAAAACGTGTAAGACTATAAGGCCACCCATAAAAATCCATAAAATGTCTAATTAAATAATAATACATAAAGTTTATTCTTTATTCAACCTAATAAACAAGTAAATAAAATTGTATGTTTGTTTATACATAATCAATCAAATTAAACGAATTGGTTATTTAATAATTAAATAAATATGTTTTATTTGAAAGGTGTAACAACCCGCTATTTCAAGTCAGTAAAAATCGAGTCCTGTAACCTCTTTGAGAAAGGAATTAGAATATCATCGAAAAATGAAGTATTCAAAAACTCTATTTGGAGTACACTATGTGGTAGTTATCGTCTTAAGGTTTCCAAACATATAAATAACACAAAAATCCGAGTTATAACGAAGAAGTTATGATCATTCTAAGTTTTACGACGCAATACGAAGTTGCGTAAAAACGCAAAGTTTCAATAAAACACTTTCCGACCTTAGGTGTCTAAATGAAAGTCGTAGATATCGTTAAACTACAAACATGCATAAAAAGAACGCTCAAATCGGACATCGTATGAATAAGTTATGAATTTTTAAAGAAATTCCTTAATCACGCCATTTTAATAAATAAATAATAAAAATAATTCCGGAATTTGCCAACGGAATCTAAATGAAAGTTGTAGATCGTAGTCTCACCTTCGCGGGGATATAAAGAACGTCAAAAACGGTGTTCGTATGAAGGAGATATGAATTTTCGAAGTTTGATAATTAATTTATATATATTTTTTTATTAAAACTTCGGTATTATCCGAAGGGGAGTCAGCGTCCTCATCCAAGGTACGCGCTGCGTACCCCTGTACGCCCCGCATACCTGAGGAACTTGGCCTCAAACCGTCCACGTCGCCCTATGTGAGGCACCCGACCCGCCCGTCCGACCCGCCGTCCCATCCGACCCGACTACCTGAGCCGTCCCATCCGAGGCCGAGGCAGTTGAGGCTTCGGTCACGCATGACATACGCGTACGCGCTGCGTACGAGTGTACGCCCCGCGTACGAGGCCTCTCAGGCCTCCCTATAAATAGCATGTGAGGGTTCCCGGGAAAATGGCCCATTCTCTCTCCTTTTTCTTGCGTTTTACCTCGTTTTCCATGCTCGCACTACCCCGAAGCCCTGGTCATTTTGTGCAAGTCCCGAAGGTCGATTTTCTCCCGAGGAATCCCGAGATTTCCGAGAAAAATCCATTTCCCGAGACAAAACTCTGCCCGGTTTTCCATCTTGCTATCTTCAAGCTTTCAAGTGAGTTCATACCCCTTTCAAACACACTTTAAATACATTTTCAAATGCTTTTATACTCTTTTAGGGGGGGGGGGGAATACAAGTAAACATACGGTTATTATCGTGTATTTTATAAAGTTTCACTTAGCTTGTTTTACCGAATAAATCACTTGGAACTCATTACTATTATGGAAAACTCTTGTCATACTTTTTGTGCATTAGACTTATACAAAGTATATAACGATTTCAAAGTACCTTTCATTGCTAAGTCGTTTTATACATTCTAAAAAATTATGATTTTGATTTGTCAAACATTGTGAAAAAGGATAAACTTTGCATAGAAAACTATCACTTTAATACGGGCTTAATTGAGAATCCATGAGACGTGTATATCTTCAAACGTTACTTTTCTTTATTAGAAAGTAATGCTACAAGTCCTGTCTATAACCAGAGTCTCCCGTTCGGAGAACGTGTCAAATGTGTATAGATCTATACGGGAAGTCATGATCCCGCGCCCTGACTGTTAGCTACAATCCATCTTTTGGGGTGACAATTGTCATAACGCTGCGATGCCTGAAGAACGTCGTTACAGGCATATTATGTTTAGTATGGTTATAAAACTCATCGGATATACAATTATTATGGTATTATGCTTTTATGAACGAGTAGCTATTAAAACTATTCTTCATCTAACAAATGCGATCTTCGTATAGTTTTATTATATAAAACTATGACACAACTTTTGAGAACGTCAGTTTCTTGCGATTTTTGGTCTTAAAGACCGCCATTTATGTTAGGAAAATAAGGGTTTCTCCTGCATACAAACCAAACAACTAATAGGAAAATAAGGGATTTTCCTGGTGCAATTATTTACATCTTATAACACGAACATTTATATGCATTTCATGCTTTTACAAGAAAATAAGGGTTTTTCTTGGAAAACACAACAACTCGTATTTCAACCATTAGGGAAAATATGAGATTTTCTGGATCTAATACATTCACTTTCAACACAACAAATCACAACTCTTTACATTTGAAATGTTGCGTTTTTTGGAAAATATACACCCATTTTGGAATGGCATCCAATTTTTCTAAACTACTTATGAACTCACCAACTTAATTGTTGACACTTTTTCTTTGAAATAACTTGTATCCTCAGGGAACCGCTAAGCAGGTTTGGGAATCAACTTTTGGGATTAACGCGCTGGCGTTAATTACTTCTTTTGAATGATGTTTATGTATTTATCTTTTAAACATGTAATGAATACAACTATGTAAACATCTTGGAAACTTTAATATATATGGTGGTGTGTACTTTCCTTTCTATGAACTGTTATGATACTGAATATGACGTCCTCCGCCCCCGAACGTTTCCGCCGTTCTGGTTTGGGGGTGTGACAAAAGGCCAACCCTATAACAGGCCATGACATGTTCTCCGGAAAGGCCAACTCCTTCATGTTATCTTCAAACTTCCTTTTACGACGTCCCCTCATTTTCATACCATCAATGGTAATTAACTTCGCCCTCTCGAAGAGCCGTTGGAAGCCTCCTCTAGATGTGTGTAAACATCCATAATCTTCATTCCTTTAACACATTTCTAATTGCCCTTGTAGTGGTGTTGATTATGATGACAAATGTACAATCAGAAAGATCTAGTGAATCATCATACAAATCATGAACATATGAAGTAAATAAATCGTTTTAAGCTTTCATTAGTTTGATTAGAAAGATTACAAATGGATTTGCAATAATTCTCTCTAAAACTAATGCTCTCCAAATCATTCATTACATAATGGGAGTCAGTCACTTCGTATTTATAGGAAAGATTCAACTCATTTACACATACAAGAAGGTAAACCATAACACTCTACGTCCAAGCGTGACTTTGCACCCTAACAACCGTATTTGGAATTCTATCCGACAAATTCTACTTCATATTCATCATAACATCCTTATTTTCAGAAGTTCCATCTTACTCTAAGCAGTCCTTCATCGGCTAAAATTTGACGCCATATAATATCATTAGGCCGAACTACCATCCTATGGAATTTTCCCAGTAGTTTAAATCGGATATGCTTCTCGCACGAAAAAATTGAAGCCGCCATCCATTTTAGTCAACCAACCTTGATTCGGTGGGTAATGCCTACCTCAATGCACTATTATTTATGGATCATAGACCCCAGACCTTTTACCAATTCATGAGTCGTTTACAACACGAAATAGATTAGGGTCCATATGTCTTATTTTTAAAGTTGGGTGGCTTCTATGCAACTTGTTAATAGTATTTAGTCGTAAGTAGTTACCGATGTGGCGTTAACTCTCTCTCTCTCTATCTCTTTCTCTCTCTCTCTCTCTCTCTCTCTCTCTCCAACTTCGCAATTGTTTATTGCTTGAGCTATCACCGATGATTCTACAGAATGTGGTAGCAGCAATGTTTCTCATGGTAGTCATTACATTCCCTTCCTCTGAATCCTCTTTTGTCGCCAAAGATGCATACCCATCTTCATTTACCGCCACCATGACATCCTGCGACCTCGACGAGGGTGGTAGACTCACCCTTATCCTCAGAGAAGTCTACGATGAGGATCGTATCATTGACATAAGTCACTAATACCACCCTGGCATGACTTCATGGGGATCGGATGACGGCCTTGGAGAGTTCCTTCGACTTCTGGCGAGTATCGAAGAACGGCTCACTCGCCAATAATTCTGAGATGAAAATCCCGAATCACACAGTGACACTCGTCACACGTGGATGCTCCAGGGCACGTGTACAACCACTATGTTGATGCGGGTTTCGATGTTGACACGCTCGACCTTCATGTTCTTAACGGTAAGTGTACCCTTTTTGATTTAATGCCTTAATGAAGGGTTGTGCTATAAGTAGCTCCTTATCCAATTTTACCCTACCCCCCCTAACATCAATCAAATCAACCTTTTTACTTTTGATTTGACATTATTTTTTTTCTTTTTTTTTCCTTTTTTTTTCTTTTTTTCCCTTTTTGTTTTTTGTTGTTTTTTCTTTTATTATTATTATTATTATTATTATTATTATTATTATTATTATTAATTTCAATAACCTTATAAATTCAGACAATATTTTAAAATTCCGACAACATTATAAATTCGGACGATATTATAAAATTCGAACGCTATATAAAATGGAACAAAAGTAATGTCGTTTGAATTTTATAATGTCGTCCAAATTTATATATCCGTAATAAATAAAGACAAACTTTATTTTTGTTCCGTTTTATATAGTCGTTTGAATTTTATTCTGTCGTCCAAATTTTAAAATATCATCTGAATTTTAAAACGTTGTTCGAATTTTATATGGCTATCGAAAATAATAATAATAATAATAATAATAATAATAATAGAAATAATATTAAATAAAAAAATTAAAAAACAAGTAAAGACAACAAAAAAAAAATAATAAAAAAAAACAATAAAAAAAACAATAAAAGATAAAAAAATCACATCAAGGGTGAGATTGGAAAATGAGAAGGGTACTCATAGAAAAACCCTAAACTTGGAGCTTTGTTAAAAATACTATTTTTTCGAGGGACAACAGAAATAATCCAGAATCATGACAAAATCTGTTTCATTTCTACATTCAAAAGAGTAATAAGTCTGACGGAAGGAGTCAAAGTATTGTTGTTTTGGGATAAATAAAGTAAGGGATTTATGTGGTAGGCTTTCAACATCCAAAAAACAACGCTAACTTCAACTCTTTGACTTCTGACCACCAATACTAATTGTCTACATCACTTTGAACATGGATCCTTTGATTTTCTTGAACTTCTTTTCTCTGCATAAATTTCTTGAATTTGAGCAAGAGTTCATACAACGTGGCATAAGGTTAATCAGTCACACGTCATGTGATTTATCCAAACTATTCTTGGATTTTGCCGACTTCTAGTGGGGACAAATTTGATGTGCTCATAAATGACGGAAGCGTGAAAGTGAAAGGTGATACTTTTCAACCATAATCGGCCAATTCAATTCAACGAATGCTATATTATATAAAGGTTATACTTTTCAATCATAATCGGCCATTTTCAATTCAACGAATGTTATATTATACTATATATAATTAACCTCTTCCAAAAGACCCTCTCAAGTCTCAAGAGCTTATCAAGAAAGATGAACCCTAAGTTGATATTTCTCTTACTTGTTATATCTTATGTGTCATCTTCCACACAAGATGGTGACGAGTTGATTCCTCCAAGAGTGGACGTTTATGAAAGTGGGAAAATTTACGATATTACCCATAGGGTTAGCTCAAGAACACTTTCAGGGATTTATGTTGAAGGAATTGGGGAGTACCTTACACTCTATCTCAGCATGAGAAATGGATCAGATTATAACTTCTCGATCATAAAGTTACCTGCTCATTCTGGTACTCATGTGGATGCACCTGGACATTTTTATGAAAATTATTTTGAAGAAGGGTTTGATGTCGATAGTCTTGACTTAGAAGTACTCAATGGTAGTAAACTAAACTCAAATCCTATTATCTGCCTTTTACTTTTTGTGTATATGTACTTAATTAATTAGCTTTATGTGTTATTATATTCCATTTTTTTCTTCACAGGTCCAGCATTATTAGTTGATGTTCCAAGGGACAAGAACATAACAGGTAACACTCTGAAACATAAGTTTCTTTAAGCAACTTATGTTTTCTAATCTTTCTATGAGCTAATTTTTAATAATTTGTTGACTTTTTTCAGCTGAAGTTATGAAGTCCTTGAACATTCCCAAAGGAGTAAAACGTGTGCTTTTCAGAACATTAAACACCGATAGGTAACACTCTTTCACTTTTCTTTTTCTTTTTTCTTTTTCTTTTAAATAATATTATCCTTTTGAATGGTGAATTTCAGGCAGTTAATGACACAAAAGAGATTCGACACAAGTTACGTGGGATTCATGGAGGATGGAGCCCAGTGGTTGAAAGACAACACTGACGTCAAACTTGTTGGTAAAAATACTAAAATACTCTCGTCCAGTTTGGATTTTACAAATATACCCCTTATTTGTGAGAACAAGTTTGTATGTCATCTATTGCTTGCTAAAAAAAAAGTATTGGTATTATTTTTATTTTAATTTTTTTTAATTTTGTAGGTATTGATTACTTGTCGGTTGCTGCATATGATGATCTCGTTTCCGCACATCGTGTTTTCTTAAAGAGCAGGGTAAAGACAAATATTCTCCCTCTTGCAAAACATAAATGTCTAAAATACCCTTTAACAAAATTGAACACTGCTACTTTTTGTGGTTTCAGGAAATCATTCTTGTTGAAGGTTTGAAACTTGACGATGTGGAAACAGGATTATATAATGTCCACTGCTTACCCTTAAGGTTACTAGGAGCAGAAGGATCTCCCATTAGATGCATCCTCATCAAGTGAAGTAAAGCATGTTCATAAATATATAAACTCTGTTTTCTTTTTCAACTTCCCTTTGGTTTTTTGACTTTTGGTTGTAAGCTAGCAGTTAGTTTGTTCTTGCAAAAGTACTAAAACATATAATATATTTTTGGTTTTATAGAATGATCAGGTTTAGATACATATGTAAAGAATGCTGGGCAACAATAGTCATTCTGGATATGAGGAAATTAAGAGAAAAGACCAAATCAACAATGTGTGTTTTTAATTACAAGATTATATAACTAAGATTGTGTTGTAGCTAGAGAATTAAAATATTATTACAAGATTATATAATTGGTCTGTACTCAATGCCTTGCACAATAAGCCCTTTCATTCCAAATGAAGGGGTATCATAAAAGGTCAATTGAAGATCATGCCCACACTTTTCATCAACAAAACGTTCATAGGTATCACCAAATTGATATTCCAATACTTGTACTTCCATCCAACCATCGTTCCTTTTCTGTGGGAGGCCTTCCAATATTTTGGGTCTACTCAACGGGTTGTGGGTATTTTGATAAGCCTTTGGTTTAATAACGGGTGTTCGGGGACTAAGTAAATATATATACCATGAATCACCGTTTTTATATTCATAACTCCTCACACGCACACGAGGTTCAAACCAAAAATGGGTTTCTTGTAATTTGTAAACAAGGTAAGCAGCATAGTTTTTTCCAAGTGATTGCATTCTAGGTCTGCAATATATGTGAAAGCTGTCGAAAACTGGATCAAAAGCCACTTGTTTAAATCTGCAAATCAAAAAGACATATATTTATATATATAGAAATAGAAGAATAATCTTAATCTGGAGTGCAAAAGGGTTTGGAACCTTGATTCGGGTGAAGAAGTCCAGCTCCAACCTTTTTGATCCAAAGCCAGTGTTGCTGATTGCAAAAAACACTTCTTTCCATTTTTTGCAAGAGAAAACCACTGTGAATTGAATAATCAATAATGTTGGTTCACATGTTCAACATTAACAGCTATATTTATGAGAGTAATAGATTGTAGAATTAATGAATCATATATGTCAAATATACCAGTTCACCATCATTCATTGGGATGCCCTTGCATAGAATGGAATAGAGCTCGTTTTTTGTTGTACATTGCAAAGCATCTTTTGACCAGCAGAGTATCTCTTCATAATCATGTGGCAAATTTAGTTCCCAATCTGTGTCTGATTCTAATATGGATACCTTCTCATCCTCTGGCGCTTTATCTTCCACCTATATATAAAAGATATAAGTATTGGAGTTTGAAGCAAAAAAAAAAAAAAAAAAAAAAAAAAAAAGATAAATTAAATGACTAAAATCGATTTGGCGTACTCTCTCTAGGGGAAAAAACACGATGCCATCTACTCCAATTCGATGTGAGCTTTCAAAAGTAATTTCAAGTTCAATAGTTCTCGTGGTGCTAGTAAACTGATACAATTCAGCTATCAACCACCCATCTTCTCCCTCATCTGCCAAATATGAAGTCGAATGTTTTGTCTCCCCAGCCAATATGTACTTGAGGCGTACATCACAGTCCTTATAGTTTACTTTGGGGTCCAGAAGGAAGACAAGGTTTACTGTGTATGTGGTATGTAGTGACAAAAATTGTGCTATGACATGTGTTTTGAATTCCATATAAAAAAATCCTCCGATGTTACTTGAAATTCTGCAAGAAAGATAATACATTCTATATGAAAATATTCTCCGAAGTTACATGAAAATCCTCTGAAGTCACTTGAAAATTTGCTTACATCTTCAATACTCTGTATTCTTTTAGAATTATTAATTTTTTTTTGTCTATATACGAATTTTAATTAGGGTTGAACATGGTACGGTACCAGACATTTTTCCTTGAAACCGTATACCGTACCAATTATAGTTGGCAGTGAAATTTAGCTATCTGTGAGAAAGTGATAATTGTTCACCTTATTTGTTATTAATCAATAACGAGTACTTATACAAAATACAACAAGAATATAGGAGATATACATGGAATATTGTAAGCTAACTAAAGTAAACAAATAATCTAATTATGTATGATATTTATCTCCAATACCCCCCCTCAAGCGCACATGTGGTGGGCGAACTCGAAGCTGATCACGGAACTTTTCAAACAACGGTTTGGGTAAAGATGTCAGCCACTTGAAGCTTGGTGGGAACAAATTGTATATGCAATTTGCCAGATAAAACAAGTTCCCTAATAAAATGATGATCAATGTCTATATGTTTTGCCCGCTTATGTGAAACAGGATTTTGACTCAAGAAAATAGCACTTAAGTTGTCACAAAGCAAGGTAGGGCGAGATGATGGCAAGGCATTCAGATCACGTAACAGATGTGTAATCCAAATCAATTCTGCTGCAGTATTTGCCATGGCACGATACTCAGATTCACAACTTGACCTGGAAACAGTAGGTTGTTTCTTGGCACTCCAAGAAACAAGATTACCACCAAAGAAGATGGAATAGCCATAAGTGGAGCGCCGGGTTTCAATACAACGAGCCCAATCGGCATCCGAATAACCAATGAGCATTGACTTTGTAGGAACTGAAAAATGAAGACCATGAGTTATAGTGCCTTTGACATAGCGTAAAATCCTTTTGACAAGGGTAAAATGGTCAACAGTAGGAGCATGAAGGAACTGACTTGGTTGATTAACAGCATAAGAAAGATCAGGCCGTGTAATTGTCAAATATTGTAATGCTCCAACAAAGGATCGATATAAGGTAGTGTCATGAAAAGGTGTGCCAGTAGTAGTAAAGACATCATTAGTGGCAAGAGGAGTACCAACAGGTTTGGAATCAAGAAGGCCTGCACGACGTAAGATGTCATGAGCATATTTACTTTGATTGAGAAACAAACCATTCGAAGTATAGGTAACCTCAAGGCCAAGAAAATAACTCAATTTGCCTAGATCCTTAATAGCAAATTCAGTTTTCAAACGACTAATAAAGCGTGCAATGGATGGGGAATGATTTCCAGTGAGAATGATATCATCAACATACACAAGGAGGTAGAGTAAGCATGGCCCTTGATGGAAAATAAAAAGTGATGTATCAGCTTGACTACATTTGAAGCCTTGAGCAACTAGGAAAGAACTAAGGCGTTGAAACCAAGCCCGTGGAGCTTGACGAAGGCCATATAACGCCTTGTTGAGACGACACACATGATTTGGATGCTTAGAATCAACATACCCCGGAGGTTGCTCCATATATACTGTTTCACGTAAATTACCATTTAAAAAGGCATTTTTAACATCAAGCTGATGAAGATTCCATCGATTTGTGACAGCCAAGGACAAAACAATTCGAACAGTTGTGGCCTTAACAACGGGACTAAAAGTGTGGAAAAAATCAAACCCCGGAATTTGGGTGAACCCTTGTGCTACTAGATGAGCTTTATGCCGATCAACAGAGCCATCAGCATGATATTTAGTGCGAAAGACCCACTTAGATCCAACAATATTGACATTTGATGGCCGTGGTACGAGAGTCCAGGTATGATGATCCCATAGAGCTCGAATTTCTTCATTCATGGCACGACACCAATGAGCATGTTTGGATGCTGATTTAAAACCCTTAGGTTCTTTAGCAGCAAATAAGGCAGCATGTAAACATGTCGGAGCAATTGCGAGAAGATCAAAAATATGGCGGGGTTTAATAGTGCCAGCTTTCCCGCGAGTGATCATCGAATGCCCAGGTGGTGAATGAGGAGCTGGTGGTGATGCCTGCGGTGGAGAGGGATGCGATGGAGGCGGAGGCACAAGAGCAGGAGATGGTTGTGGTGAGGGCGGTGGCAGGGGTGCAGCAGCAGCAGTGATAGGATCATCAAGCAGGCACGGAACACATGGGGCTGTAGAAGAACTCGATGCTGATGATGACCAAATCACGAAATAGAGGACGCGTAGGGAGAGCACGATGGGCAGTGGAAAAGGTCTCGAAGGTCGGTCCCAAACCACACAAGAACCAGTGACTTTTATCATCGTTAGAAACGGGTTTTCCAATGGCCTGTAACTGATCACAAAGACTCTTAAATTGCTTAGCATAATTAGAGACAGAGAGATTACCCTTCTTAAGTTGATGTAAGGAATCTTTAAGATTCTGGGATCGTTCCTGGGAATCATGGCTATAGATAGATTCCAAAGTAGTCCACACTTCACGGGGGGTGGAAAGACCAAGAACTTCTACCATGGATTCTTCAGAGAGGGACGATTGAAGGATCAAAAGAACCTTTTGATCGAGTTCTACCCAAGCATCATGGGTTGGGTTGGGAGCTGCTTTTCCATCAACGATGGTGGTGGATGGCGGGATGGTAGAGGAACCATCGACATGACTCATCCATTTTTGATGAAGAAGAAGAGGTGTAATCTGATTCTTCCAGAGGAGGTAATTAGAAGAATTTAGCTTGATGGTTAGCATGTGAATGAGGGTATTAAGAGAGAAGGTATTTTCCGAGGAGCCCATCGTCGATTTCAGAGAGGAACAAGAAGAGAGGAGGGGCGATTAGGGTTAGGAACGTGAGATGGCTGATACCATGTGAGAAAGTGATAATTGTTCACCTTGTTTGTTATTAATCAATAACGAGTACTTATACAAAATACAACAAGAATATAGGAGATATACATGGAATATTGTAAGCTAACTAAAGTAAACAAATAATCTAATTATGTATGATATTTATCTCCAATAGATGCAAACCTTGAGCTTCGTTGAGAGAAATATTGATGATTTTATCTTACCATATTTCATAATTATATGAAGCACCAGACATAATAATTCACTCTTGAAAAGAGCAATATGACATACCTAACAAATGATAGCAATGGATGTTTGAACATAGCTTCGATTTGTCACACTTTCGGGACCATTCGAAAAATTAGAGTTCAATTATCCCATAAGAGTAAAAGATTTCTAGAATAATTAAAGTATGTTTAGACACATACATGTACTTCTATAAAGCACTTACATATGATGTATAATTTCTAAGAAAAAACCAAACACCATCCTTTATCATTGGCATTTATGGTAATTGGGAACAAATAAAGGCGGTGGATGAAAAGGTTAACTTGAGTGATATCACTTATAAATATATTGATACCATGTCTTTTAGGCATAAGGTTATCAAGGGTATTGGAGCTATTTTGTTCAAATAGTGAAATTGCTAGTTTAAGAAATTGATATTCAAATAATAGAGCACTAAACAATGATGTATCATCATGAGGAATTAATGCATGATGTACATTATCTACGTCAAACATGATCGTGCTTTATGTTTTCATGTTTAAACCCTAAAAAGGGTGAGAATAAGTTTGTAAATTACATAGTTGGTCACGGATGCTAGAGTGACAATGTAATGTTTTGTGTCATTTTTGACTTAGATACATCTTAGTAGAGCTAAAACCACAAGCATTATAGTTGATGAATATTGGAAACGACATACCTCAAGGTTGCACTTCATGAATTTGCATCTTTAAGTGAACATGAATAAACTTTTACGAAGCTTTAATTATGTCTTTTAACCTAATAATATTTCCTAACTTTTGGATGAACATGGCTTCATAATTTGAAGTACCTCAACGCTTATACAAAACAAGTATATATTTAAAAATCCCAAACCAACCCCCCCCCCCCCCCCCCCCCCCCACACACACACCCTAACGTTTGAACCCACCAGAGCCAAATTCCAAGCTGACAATCGTATATGAATGACGTTTTTTTTTTTTCTTGTGTTAATATAACCTAAATTATTATCTTATTTTATTAAAAAAAATTATTATATTTTTCATCATCTAAAAATAATAGAATGATAGATAAAAAGAAAAAGTAGAATGATAATTATTTTTTCTTAATGAAAATATATTATTAGTATTATTATAATCCTGATAGTAATTTTGATATCTAGAATTTATGACAGAATCTTATTATAATTAAAAGACAAACTGTTTTATAACTAAAATTCTCATCTTATTTTGTTAATAAGTTTGTATTACATTTGTTAAACTACTAAAATGAAAGATAGGAATTATAAATAACATAATATTAATTTTTTTAATGAAAATATATTATTATTATTATTATTATTATTATTATTATTATTATTATTATTTAGCCTTTGTAAATGATTATCGTTCTATAATATTTATCTTTTTTTTTTTGTAAAAATATTCTAGCTAATAAGTTAATACATCTTTAGTTATATTCGTAATTTTTATATCAAGAATTTCTGACGAATCTATAATAATTAAACACGACTTGTTTAGAAGTTTTTAAAATACAACTTGTTTAGAAGTTTTTAAAATATAATTTTTAACAAGTCATCTTATAATTATATTTCAACTATTGATATTGATGTCATCACAACATCCAGTTGAGCCACGTGTTCCAGAACGGTCCATGACGGCACGTTATCTTTCTCCTTTGGAGGCAAACATTGAATATTCCAACAGTGATTTCACTTTATGCTATTATAAATAAACACGTGTAAATAAAATTGTTATTTAATTTATCTGAAGTCGGCTGTAAAAATTAATAGTTTGATAAGAAAACCGATCGACCTAGTCTTTAAAGTTTAAACACTTCCATTTCCGGTTCAAAACTTGTCTGGATTGAGTGACTGTTTAATTTATTGTCATACTATTATTCAATTATTATTTAAAATCATTTTAATAAAATGATAAAAATCGTATAA